GTACATTGGTAATGTCTGACTGGTCCTTGTGTCACTTTATGTTCAATAAATTGGGCCCTGAGGTCAAAAAGGTTAAGAACCCCTGACATACAGTCCACAACAGCCTTATTTCATTTAAATGTTTACTCCTTTTATGAGCTTATTTAAGTGAGGTTTAAAAGGCTGTTTACAAGGCAGTGTGCTCAGTCAGAGAAGACCCGTCAATTCTGAATAAAAATAATAATAATGCAAAGATGAGGGCCAAAAGATCAACTAAAAGCTTAAAAACTTGTAGACCATCAACCAGTGAGTGACACTGTGGTAGATACATTTTATGACCAATAGACACCAAGCTGGTGTATTTTTTTTTTACTTTAAAATGTGAAAAGATGGATAGAAAGCAAAAAGAAGAATGCCAAAAAAGAAATGTGAAAAAGAAAAGAAAATTAAAACAAATATGAAAAGATCAGAATTGTTAAACAATTACAACAACAATATTGTATAACAATTATGTTTCTGCAAAATGTCAGTAAAAAAGAAACCAGAAACTTGGTACTCCCCTGCACCAAACCCCCCAACAGAAGATCCAGGGTTGATTCAAATCACGTTTCTCAATCAAGCAGACATCCCTAAAGACAAATCTTCACCTCAAGCTTAAATTCTTGTTTAACATTCAGTAAATTAGCAATCCAGATGCACAATCTATAACAGTCAAAGTCTGCCTTGACTGTGATTATCCCCAGGAGAGCCACACCAGAGACTGGCAGGATAAATCTACTCACCCCTCGGTGACCTCTATGGGGGATCTGTAGACCTTTGATTGGCTACGTTGTTTCTTGGGACAGAACATCCGTCCAATCAGAAAGAAGGTGATAACACCGGAAGGGATGATGACGAAGGCGAGGAGGACAGCAACATCAGAGAAACGAATGCTGGGTGCTGAGGAAGATGAGGAGGGATCAAAGGTCAAACATTAGCATGGTGTTCATGATCAGCTGTATTCAGCACATTACAACACCTGCTTTCTGTTTTCATTATACATTTAGAACTTTACACAGTTTTTTTTCAGCAGCTTTAAAAAGGTATCATATCATGCTTTTAAATCCTTTTTCAGGTCTAAATCATTCACTTATGGTTTATTTAAAATAAAACTGCAACACTTTGGTCCTAKTTCCTCATTTTTGTTGCTCCACAGACTCCTTTGCTTTCCTTGCTTTACCCCTGTTCTGAGTTGCGCCTCAGAGCAAGCTGTTTTGGTGCGGTCTCTTTAAATACAAATGAGATATTTCACACCCCGCCCCCTCCAGGTCGCTGAGCGTTCGACTCCACCCTGTTGGGCCATATTTGTAGTTTCATAGCAAAAACACAGTTATCTACAGACTAAAAACTGTTTCTAAGATAAAATATGATAAGATAAAACTTTATTGATCCCACAGTCTGGAAATTTGCACATTACTGCAGCTTAATACAAGAGAGG